ATCCAATGTATCGCAGATAAAAATTATATGAACATGTCATTTTTTATAAAGCTCATCAAATCAACTAGAGACTTACTAACTTTTGAAGCTGAACAACCTATTTCGAAGCAACAGTATATCGTATTAGAAAGGATATCTTCAGATAATATTATAAAATATTATAAATGTAAACATAGAAATGGATTGCAACAAGTTTGTGTAAAAATTTGTAGAAGAGAAAAGAGATATCGATATGATGGACAAGAAGAAATACTTTATGAAATCAATACTTTACAAAAACTAAAAAACCAAAACATTATTCACATTCAACAATACTTTATTGGGAAAAGTTATGCAGGGTATGAAATGGAATTAATAGAAGGTGGAAGTTTACTACAATGGATTGAAATTAATCAATGTATTCCTATAGAATTGTTTAGTATTGTTTCAATTCAATTATTAAAAGCACTACATTATATTCATTCAAATGGAATCATTCATCGTGATATTACTTTACATTCTGTTCTTTTAACTACTCCAAATAATTTCAATCAATTGAAATTAACTCATTTTGAACAATCATTTGATGTAAATGAACCAATAATCGATGAACATATAACAATTGATTTTCATTATGCAGCACCTGAATTATTTAGACATTATCTTTATACATTTTCTGCTGATGTTTGGTCATTGGGAATTTTATTATTTAAATGTTTTACATCTTACTACCCTTTTGAGTCAACAGGAAATAGAGAATTAGTTAAAGCAATCTTACGAGGAAAAGTTGAGTTTCCATTATCATTGCCTTCATTATTTATAAAAATGGAAAGAAACTTATTAAACCCAAATGTCGACAACCGTCTTTCTCCAAAAGAAACATTAAAAATATTATTCCAATCTCAAGATTGAAACACAAATTCTTGATAAGTTAATTTATGTATTTTGTTCTGAATTTAACTGGTTTAAGTAAAAATAAAACTTTGGTTGAAGAAAAATAAAATTCTATGTATTTGCATAGTCAAAAAGTCTTTAAAAATCAAAAATCACACCCCATTTGAAATCTCTCAAAATGGAAATACTCGAAATAGTTACATGTTCTTTTTTAGATGACAACATGTAGGAGAAATCAATGCAAACTTTTCTTTCGTGAGAAAAAAATCTTCCTATTTATTAAATATAAATAGAAACATGTCCTCATTATTAAATAAAAACAACTAAAAAAGTAAAAAAAATCATAACAAAAAATAGAAATATAAAATAAAAAATCAAAGGAAAATAAACAATAAACAGGTATTATACTTTTTACAAAATCACGAATGAATAAGGAAAAGGGTTGGGAACTAAATGAAGAGAAAGTGTGATAAAATAAAAATAGAAACAGGATGAATTATTTAAAGTCATCTTAAATAAACATTATTCATTTACTAATGCAAACAACATTATTTAAACCAGTTGTTCCTTTAAATTGTAATCAATTTCCTTTTCTTGATTATTCTCAATGTATTCCTTTATCAATTACTGGATCATATGAATATCCTATTGAATCTGATACTGTTACACCTAAATTACCTCATGAAAATTTCTCTATTTCTTTTTGTGATAAACCTAAAAAACTTTCTTTAACTTCAAAGAATATACGTTCTACACATTTTAATGAAATTACAGATAATGATCGAAATACTCGTGTGTTTGATTGGATTAATACAATTCAATCTAATTCTCCTTATCCGTTTCCTTGTTGTTATTAACTCAATTGTATATTGGTTGTGTATAATATCATTCATTTGTTTTACTTTCTTGTTTAAAATTTTTTTTTATTAAAATGTTCATATTCTTTCTATTTTTATTTTTTAAATAGTACTTTAAAAATAGATAACTAACGACACGAATATTTGAATAACTAAATTAATTATTTTTCTTTTATGAGTAATTTCCGTTTTCCTAAGACCCGTTTATTCTTATTTCTTCTAAATTCTTCTACTTTTTGTCAAAATTTCCTATAACTAACAGAATAAAATAAAATCTCGAATATGTTGTAAAAAAAGAAAGATACTAACTCCTAAGTTATTTTTGACTTTCTTTTTCTAATTGATATTCTCTTTGTTGTTCGGTTTTGTGTCAAAAAAGATTTTAACAATACAAAACACAAAAAATTGTTACGATTGATTAAAAATGAAATAACAAAATAAAAATAACAATCCTATTTTTATATTTTCTTATGGAAAAATTGGATAAACAACAAAAAATTAATTTTTTATAAACTTTTCTCATTTTTTTGTTTACAGTTTCTCTTTATGTGAGTATCAATTGATTTAATTTAAATAAATAATTAAACTATTTAATTATCTAAAAGTTTATTAATAAATAAACCAAATATTAAAAAAAAAACAAATAAGAAAATAAATAAAATATGCAGGTATGTTATGGACAAGTCATCACTGGAGCACCAGGAAGTGGTAAAACTACATTTATTAAAGGAATGTATACATTTTTAAAATTAATGGGAAGAGAACCAATAATCATTAATTTAGATCCTGCTAATGAACCAAATGATTATCCAATATCTGTTTCACTTCCTGAATTATTGTCGTTAGATGACGCAATGAAAGATACTCAACTTGGTCCAAATGGAGGGATGTTGTATTGTCTAGAATATTTAAGTGAAAATGTTGATTGGCTTATTGATAAAATTATTGAAATTCACCCATCTTATTTACTTATCGATTGTCCAGGTCAAACTGAATTATTTGCAACACACCCAACATTACCTACTATTCTACATCGATTACAGCAAATAAATTGTAGATTAACAGCAGTACATCTTATTGATTCAATTCATATTGGAAATCCATCAATTTATTTAGCAGCAGTATTACAAGGACTGGCATGTAACATGAATTTAGAATTACCATTTGTTCCATTCTTAAGTAAAGCAGATTTATTGGGTGGATATGGGTTCAATGTTAGATTAGAAGATATTATTAATGGAAACGTTGCTGAGTTAATTAATGACTTACCTTCTAAATTTACCACATTAAATGAGCAATTAGCAGAGATCATTGACCAATACTCATTAATTAAACCAATTCCATTTGCTATTGAAGATAAAAATGATTTAGCATTAGCTATTGCAGTGATAGATAAAGCAAATGGATATTGTTTTAACTCAAAAGAGTCAAGTATTTTACAATATTTTTGTGTTGCCAGTGGTGTTTCTATAGATATTAAAATTGACCAAACCATAGAAAAGTATCAAAGTATAATTGATGGGGATAATGTAGTTCATCCACAACATGAAGAAGAAGAATAAAATTAAATTGATTGTGTATTATTATTTATAATAAAATTATAGAAAATATTATAGTTTTTATTAAAAAAAAATGATAAAGAAAAAACTTAAAAGATTATTTTATGGAAGAAGAAACAAAAGCACTTGTTGAAGGTCCATTTCAATTACTTACTGAAGCAGTTGAAAAACATGGACAAGTATTAATTAATTGTAGAAATAATAAAAAATTAATTTGTCGTGTAAAAGCATTTGATCGTCATTTTAATATGGTTCTTGAGAATATTAAAGAAATTTGGACAGAAATGAAACGTGATTCAGATGGTAAATTAAAAGCTAAATTATGTCAAAGGAGCATCAGTAAAATGTTTTTAAGAGGAGATTCAGTTATTGTAATAGTTAAAAACCCAGCAGAATTAATGAATAAATAATTGATTATTTAAAGAGAATAAAGAAATAATTTATAGTAATTTTAATGGTTAATTATAATAAGTTATGAACTTAATTAAAACAGATAGTTTTTTAGTAAATTGACACTTTATTTTTACAAACAAATGAACCAACATGATGTCATTACTTTAAAGTTTCAAAAAGCTAAAGAAGAATTACAAAATCATTACCAACAATTAAATAAATATTTAAGAAGTCTTCAACAAAGTTATTTAACGGCAATGCAACAACCAACCCAACACCCTCTTCCAAGTCCTCAAATGCTTCAAAACCATATTAATCAATTAATTAATGCATATGCCGCAGCATCTCAAAAACTTGCATCTGCACCACAACCACCAGTCATTATTTGTAGAGAAATGCTTGATACATTTATTGAACGAACAAAGGCAAATGCTGATTTTATTAATGAAATAACAAAAAAATATGAAGAATTAGAAGAACGACAAAAACAAATCATTCAACAAATTAATGATGTCAAAATTAAACAAACTGAAACAAAAAGTATTATTGATAATTTAAATGAAAATAATATTGATGAATTTATCAATCAATTATTAGATTGGAATAACGCCCAAGTAATCGTTAAATTAAATAAAACAGAAGAAGCAATTTTATTACTTTGTGATGCATTAAAAAAGAATTCAACTAATTCACAAAAAATTGAAGATATTGTTTGTTTACTATTCAACAAAATTTATTCTTTATTTGATTATTAAATACTTACTTCTAGTGTGAATGTATTATGGCATTCATTTCTATGACATTACTTTCTCCTGTTGCTGTTTCTCAGTTAAGTGATATAATATCTCAAGTCA